GTTGGCCTTTAAAAGAGAAGCATAATAATAAGTTAAGTGTTGACGAGATGAGAATGATTAGGTGGATGAGTGGCTTTACACTTAGAGACAAAATGCGGAATGAATATATTCGTGATAGGGTTGGTGTAGCTCCTGTGACAGACAAAATTAGAGAAAGTCGTCTTAGATGGTTTGGTCATATTAAACGTCGACCATTAGATGATCCGATTAGGAGAGTAGATGTTTTAAATTCGACTTGTGTTAAGAAAAGCAGAGGTAGACCTAGGAAGACTTGGGCTTATTGTATTAAAAATGATCTTAATTTACTAGAACTAAATGAAAATATGACACTAAATAGGACGCAATGGAGAAAAAGGATTCATGTAGCCGACCCCACGTAGGGGGATTAAGGCTTTGGTGTTGTTGTTGTTGTTGTATGTGTCTAGACAAATTACAATGCGACTATTTTTTGGTTTACAAATATATTTATATATTTGATGGGAAATATAATTTTAGGATATTATTAAATTGGATCTATAACTCAAATGATTTCCTATAATATTATATTATATCAAAGAGTTGAACATGTCAAATCAAAACTAGTGGGATATGCTTAATCATCTTAATGAAGTATTGCTACTAATTTATATTGAATTGTATGCAAAAAAGACTTAAATGAATAATATTTGTTGTTCAATTAATATAAGAAGCAACATTATACACTTCATTTAAGGTTTTAGGCAAAAAATAATGATAGAATTAAATTTTAATTTACTAGAAATATTTAATGATGCTTTATATTACAATTTAGATATCAAACAATAGTGTAACTACTATACTATTTGGAATATTGTATATGTTGTTAATATTTCTAAAAAAAATCATTAGCATCACCTTTAAGGCATGTCAAATTGACAGTGAAACAAGAATCATACTAGATGAAATATGATCTTTATCAGGAAGTTGTTTATGGATATATGATTAAATTTCAATGGTGTTTGTTTAATATGTTTTGAAGAGATGTAGTAGATTTTTCTTTAGAGACTAAATTGAGTAACAATAATCCTATCAGGAGGATAACTAAATTATCTTTCAGACTCTAACACTATAATTAGCTTTTTTTATATTGTCTTCATAGATTTGTAGATTAAATCGTGCTTAACTTTTCGTTGATAACCTTTAATGAGGTCGATATTGATAGCGAACTATTCTCTAGACAAATAAAATATGAATTCAAATGTATCAAAACTAATAAGATATTCTTTAATTGTTATGAATAATTTCATATTAATTGAATTAAAATTTTGATTTTATAAGTTTATATTTCATATCAGAACAGGTAGATTTTACTTTATAGCAATATTTTATCAAAATTATCGAGTGAATCTTGTTTTTTTCTTTGTTGCTGCAAATTTAATTATTTAGAAATTTGTCAATATTTCCTTTTAAAAAAGACTCTCTAACTTAATTATCTAGAACAAAAAATCCTCCCTCTGAATATGTGTGTGTTGTGTGTGTGTGTGTGAGTGTATATATATATATATATATATATATAGTTATATAGATATATAACCCTTTATACCTTAATGTTTGTGTTTAGATTTTTTTTTATTAAATCTGAATAATTTTTTTAAATTTGCATTTTGATTGTTGATTCATGAAAACTAGATCCGTTTGTTTATTTATTTGTAAGCATACTATTAGAAGATATTGTAATATAACTAAAAACTCTAATATGGAATATTTTATAGGACATTTTAGTATCTATGATCTCAATTAAACATTTAAGCATGCAATGCAGGTTTATATCTTATCAACTTTTGCAATAACCATTCAACATAGCTAACAGTTGTGCAAAAATAGTTTCAAAAAACTAGAGTTAATTCTTGATGTAGTACAAAACATGAACTCATAGAGCTTACCCCAAGTAAATGTGTGAGGCAAATTGGATGATTGATGGTGATTTCTATGTTTAGAGGGTGAGTTTGGTGTTTGGATTGCCCCACTCTTATTTAGATGATTGCGGGTTGACTTTGAAATTAGCCTCTCTATTGTGTTAAGGTTGCCTGTATCAGCCTCTCAATTGTGTTATTAAGTTTATTCTGATAAATAAACTTAGGGGTTATTTGGGATCACTTTTAATTTTTGTTTTCTATTTTTTTCTTTTATTTGGTTTTGTTTATGGTTTTTTTTTCTTTTTGAAACAAAATATTTTTGGTATGTTTGATTAAGATTTGATTGTTCTTGAAAATCAAAACAGCTGAAAATTATTTGTAGTGTTCTCAAAAACATGTTTATTTATTTTTAGAAGCGAAAAAATAAAAATACACTAAAAGCACATTAAAAAAACATTTTTAAAAATAAAAAAACAAAATTGATTCCAAAGAAGCCCTAAAGCTATTTTGAGTGTTAATTTATTTTTAGAAACAAAAAAAATGTAAAATACAAACTAAACAAACTTGTTTTTAAAAATAAAAGAAAAAATAAAAACAAAAAACCAAGACAAAATTGATCTCAAACAAGCCCTTAGTTTCTACACGCGTACTTTTCTTCCAGGTTATCAGGCTGGAGTTCATAAATTGTTTGTTTTCCTTGGTTCTTGCATTTTCCTTGTGAGAAAAGATGAGAATCACTTCATCAGATTGGAAACTTTTCATGTACTTCTTCTAGGTCATACAGTATATCTTTGTTATAAATTCATGATTAGCTGAGGAGTAAATATTTGGTATGCAGAATGCTGAGTTATGGATGTTTGATGGTATATATTCCTGAATTTTATTTGGTCTGTTTCACAGGTATTGTTCTTATCGGTGAAATTGGAGGAACTGCCGAAGAAGATGCTGCAGCATTGATAAAGGTCAGCCAGTACAGAATCCCATATGATGACTTTAATGTTGATCAAATTCATGCGTGCTTATTCTGGATTCTTGATTCTGCTCCAGTTTCTTTTTGTTTGTTCTCGTTTATTCTTTCAAATTAGCTTCAAACCTGATTATTAATCATAAAGCCGACCTTAATTTGGATTTAAGGCCGATTGCAGTGATGATTTGAATGCCTGATGGTTTTTTAGGGGCAGCTAAATAACTTCACATCGTTTTTATTTTTTTTTCATCTTGTGGCCTTCTCTCCCTTTTTCTTTTTGAATTTTTTTAATGTACTTTGATGTTATCCTCTTAAATATTTTTAAAGTTGAAGCAGTTGTTCATGTGTATTGACCAGAATTTTGAATTATTATATCTTTTTTGTTTGAATATGTGAATGATTTTGTCTTAGATTACAAAATTTATTGTATTTCCTCACTTTTTCTTCTTGAATTTTAATAATTGTGTCTTCCTTCTTAATAAAACAGGAAAGCAAGACGGAAAAGCCGATTGTCGCATTCATTGCTGGGCTTACTGCCCCTCCCGGACGAAGAATGGGCCATGCCGGAGGTTTGTGAACTTTTAAGCTGTTTTTGTAATCTTGTGCTTTTATCTTTGTTTTATCCTGCAGGGTTTCTTAAAAAAAAGGTATATTAACAAAGATTATACAAAATCAAGAGTTGTTCAGTTGTGATATTAAGAAAAGATTTACATACATATCACTCAATTCTTATGTATTTACATATCTAACACCTAAAATTTAATTTTAACATAACATAGGGTTTACGGTTTAAAAATAAAAGCAAAAAAGAAAACAAAAACAAAAAACAAAAAATGAGAACGGTCCCAAACAAGCCCTAAATAATTTTATAGATAATGAAAAATTTATCCTTAAATGCTTCTACAACTATTTAAGTTAAAGAAGCCTACTCTTTTGCCATATCTTATTTTGAATTTCTGATTTCGCTGTCGTCGCGATACATAAGTTACATTCTACTTTTGTTAGGTAAGCGAAGGTTACAATTCTAAAATATAAACCCGTGCAAAGTTTGGGTAAACATCAAATTACTTCCCTATTCCACTTTTTCCTTGAAAAATATCATCCATTTTAATAAATGTAGAATTCTCCAAGACTGGTGTATGTTCGAGCTAGTTGCATCCATCGGTAAAGCCCGTTACGTATAATTGTTAAAACCTCTTGGAAGCATTATAAGTTATTTCCCGTTTAAAAAAGCTAGACCAACTTTGTTATAGCCACAACATTTATTAGATTTAGTTATAGAAAAGCTATTTTTCACCATAGCAACTTCTAAAAACTTACATGAAAGCTGTAGACAAACAGACCATGAAAGATTTTGGTGATATGAATGTAAGAAGTTTAGGCGTTTGATATGTAAATACATAGGAATTGGGTGGGTATGTATGCAAATACCACAAAATTTACAAAATATTTATTTTTGTTTGTGGTATTGCAGCTATTGTGTCTGGTGGGAAGGGCACTGCCCAGGACAAGATCAAAACTCTCAGAGAAGCAGGAGTAACTGTGGTTGAATCTCCAGCCAAGATAGGTTCCACCATGCTCGATATTTTCAAGCAGCGTGGCCTTTCAGAATAATTTAATTTTTGATTCAATCCGGTAAAAATTCGACCGTTATTACCTTATTTTTCAAATTCAAATTTTCTCCCCATCTGAGAAATAATTTATGCTGATACAGAAAACTACAAACTGCTGTTGGAAAACTGATTCTTTTTGACATTTTTCTGTAAACCTTCTTTTTTAGGCCTGAAATGATCTGTTCTTAGCCTTCTGCTTTTTGTCAAATTTTATCGAAGGAAACTGTGGTATATGCTAGTAATAATAATTATGGTTTCGTTCATTTGGTTTCCTTTTTTTTTTTATTTGGGATAATTACATACAACCCACCCGAAACATTGATATTTACAAATTAACTTACATGATTTTCTTGAATTGTATTTATGTGTGCCACGATAAAACAAATTTGGGTTGGGGTTTTACCATGAATTTTGATATTTGAGTGAGAATTTGAGAAATGGTTGAAAGAGGATGGTTGATTTTCGGGCAGTATGAATGTAATTGCTCTTTTTTTATTTTGTTTATTTTTTATTTAGAGAGATAATTTTGATTTATGTGAAACTATGCTTTAAGAATATGCATTTTTGTATGGGCATTTTTTTAATTTAATTTATGGAGCCCCTTTTTTATGTGATAAAGAAATAATTTAATTTCAAATTCATAGTTTTTTTATTTTATTTTTGGCATGTTGAGATTTTTCACTTTGTTTTCAATCTGTGTGCCACGCATTCGAGCACAGCTCAAATGTTATAGTTTCAGCATAGCATTAGTATTGTTGTACCAATTGAGGATGCTAAATAAAACATTTTGGAAGATTTACATTCATGCCACTTAGGGTGTGTTTGGGGGACTTTTTTTTGCAGCGGTGGAGTTTTGAAAACACCACCGTTTGTTTGGAAATCCCGTTTCAGTGGCGTTTTTTTAAACTTCCTTGGCATATTAATATTAGATGCGGATCACGGGTAGGACCCCATGAATCTCGTTTCATAGAGGCGAAAGACTGTCGATGCCCCTCCTCACTCCTCTGCCCTAATTTTGCAAGCAGTGAATCGGTTCCGTCTCTCACACTACAGGTTTCTCCCAATCCTTGGCATCTCCCTGCTATAACCCTAATCGAGTCCTTGAAGATGTATGATTTTAAGAATGCTTATTTTGGTTCCGTCGTCTGACATTTCGGTTCGTTGGGGGATCTCGATGGCTATTTCGATTTTTTTAATTATGCCATTCTGCACCCTTTTTTTTCCTTGTCGAAGTAGTAGGATGGATGAGAAATGGATGAGAAAGATTTACAATGTGAGGGACTTTAGCTTGGTAGCAGGGTGGATGAGAAAGGGATGAGCCAAATCCTAACTATTTGATCGTGTTTGGCTCAGCAATAACTACCTTATATTGAGGTTAATTGTGATTGGAATTTTTTTAAAAAAAAAAATTAAAAGATCCTTTAAGGTGCAGCTGAATGGCTTTGAATCGATTTCGTCTCTCGCACTGCGGGTTTCGTGTGGATTCTTTTTGAATAGGTATTGAGCTTTCAAAACAAACACAGTTAGACAAAAGCATGGTGGAGAATTTAAGGACTTATCAGTTGAAAATCATTATTTTTCTTTCTAACTCCTCGGCAAAATAGTTATTTTTCTTTCTAACTCCCCGGCTGGTTCTTCTTTGAAGGGATTGAAATTCTGTTTTTTGTTAAGTTACCCCTTATGCATTTAGAAATCATATAATGTGGGGTTTTGCGGTGTGGTTTTTTTTTTTTTTTTTTTGTTATGACATTTATGTGTGATGGGGATGATTACTACAATGATGTAAATTTTTAAATATTATACCCACACCCATGTTAAGACCTTCTAAAGTACTTTGTGATGCTTTAAAATGTTCATTTGCATCGTGTAATATAACTCACTTTAGCTTAAAGTTGATGCAATCCTATTACTAATTGTAGCTTCAATATGTATTTTGGTTTCAATTGGTATCTGGAACTCTATTTTAGATGAAGTCAGAATAAAAAATTTGTAATAACAAATATGTACTGTTGTGAAATTACAAATTTGTCATGCAACAAATTTATATATATATGTGTTTAACAAATTTATATATATATATGTGTATGTATTTTGTGCTAATTGTCTAATAAAGTAAGGGTTATAAGAAGTTCTTCACTTCAGTTCCTTCAGCTCATGTATATTTTCTTCTGTTTGAGTTTTTTTTCTTAAATTTCATTCAATTTTTTTAAAATTATTTTAAAATGTAAATTACTTTATTACAATTTATGTTACACAATTTAAAAATATTTTTTTCAAAAGTAAATTTTATAATGTATAAACAGTCTTTTGTCAACTAAAAACCTGTAAATAAGTTGTTTTTCAAACGCACAATCCAAACAACAAACAGCTTATCCGGAACATGGGTGAAATAGTCATTTATTCAGAATCATCTGTTTTTCGAAACTCACAAACTAAACAGCTAGCCAGCTTATTTTTGAGTGCTTTTTTTGTTCTGTAAATATCAATATTTTGAGTGCTTTTTTTGTTTAAATTATTATTACATTTAAATATTTTGATAGATATTAACTATTGACTATACCTTTTGAAAGTTGGAAATAAATATTATAGTGTAAATTAATTGTTTTATATTTTTATTTTATTAGGAGCAAAAATATTTTATTGCTTTTGAAAAATACATTATATTATATATTTATGAATTTGCCAGGGAGCTCCAAATGTTAGCTTAGTATGGTGCTATGCTCAGCCATGGCTAAGTCCATGAATGTAATTTGGAAATTTGCAACTAGCTACCTCTGAGAAAATAAAAAATAAATATCATAAAATGAGATAAGATCTATGAATTTACACATCTAAATACCTAAACTTTAATTTTTTACATGCATATATACCACCTCACCTATGCAAAGATATATTTTACATTTTCATGTTAAAATTGTAGTATTGTTTATATGATATGAAAGATTTTGACGGTATAATGTTTGGAAAACTCGACGGCTCTATTTGACGACCAACATTGATGACCAGCACAGATAATCACTATTATTTAATTATCATTGTTCGACCACCATTTCCTATTTTTCATCACCTAACTAATGTATTTGTACATCGTCATCATTTAATTATTGTCATTGATCGATTATTTATCGACTACCATTCTATTATTATCACTTATTGATTACCGTTGAATCACAATCACATGATTATCACTGTCTAATCACCATCACTAGATCACAATCTCCTAATCACTGGCGGATCATAAAGATCAGAAAGGAGCATTAAGCACATTAAGAGACTCCTTGATATCATACACCAAGATGACCCCAAGATGTCATAAGGAAAGCATCTATTATCATACTATGATTGAGAAGAAAATGAAAAAAAAATGAACCAATTTGTTGGCATACTATGAATCTATAATCTTTAATTTTGATTCTTCATTATCTTCTGACACATATTAAGATTGTTTATTCATATATATATATATATATATATATCATAAAATTTACATGCATACAAATTAGTTTTTATGCATTTACATATCTATTCCTAAAATATAATATTTAGATTTGTAATACTTTTGGTGATGGAACATTTTGTATGAAAAGATATATTTTGCTTTTAAGAAAAAAATCATAGTGATGTTATTCTTGATATAATATTAAAAAATTGAATGTTATATATATTGTATATCCAAATATGAGTTCCTTTATGCTATAGAAAAGCTCAAAAATTTTATGGGCCTCAAAAACTTAATGGATCGAGCTCACTAACCGCGCATTAATGGTCTGGTGCTGACCAGATCAATCGTACTTTTTGTCATAGCTTTAGAGGTGACAAGCTACGTAACTTCTTATTGCTCAAAAGGATCTCACAAGTACCTCTGAAGTACGTCAACATTCCTGCGAGTTCTTCTAAACAATTTTATCAAGTCTTAATCTTCAAGTGAGTTCCTCTATTCCAGCTGTCACTCACACTACCTGAGTTCTTATTCCAAACTCGCACGAGCTAGTTGGAGCTTCCCTCCAAATCCCCAACTACAACACTGAGCTCGATAGACAATTGTTGGAGTCATAAGGAAGAGAACTCCAGTATAACAGCATACATATCATCACTTATTAACTGTATGACAATCTACATCAGTATTCTTGTTGACAACGAGTCTCCTTAGGCTCCACACTACGCCACTTATAACCTAGTTTTATGTTATGGGATCTCATAAGTAAATATATAAATATGATGGGTTATGCATGCAAATATACATTTTGATGGTCGTTAGTTTCTAGCATCCCAAATGGCCGCTCGTCCCTTTATTTCAATATTCTGTTAGTTTTACAGGACTATTTAATGTAATATTATGATTGTTTGGAAACTTACGCAGACTTAGCCAAATGAACTAAAATATTATGATAATTTTACATATACATCACGCAATTCTCATGTATTTATACATCCAACCCCCCCAAATATTGATATTTGCACTTATATCAGCTTGGTCACATATATTTATTCATCATTCACTATTATGATGTTATTTTTCATGTGAATTTGAATTTTTAGGTGTTAGATATGTAAATATATAAGAATTGTGTGGTTTGTATGTAAATGCCCCCAAAAAAATATATTAAAATGGTGGTGCAGTTTCCACGGCAAGTAATTTTTTGATTTATTCTTCATAAAAATAAAAATAAAAAATAAAAAATAAAAAATAAACTTAATTTTTGTATTTATTTCAATTTACTTTTTCTTCCATCATCATGAGCATATTCTCCATTGATATGCCCGAATCTTGATATATATATAATTTTAGACTTTAATATGGATAAATTAAAAAGTTCATGGTTGCATTTTATTTTGAAAATAATGACAATATTAAAAAATTATTTAAATGCTTTAAAAATAATATTATTTGATTTTTGAAATAAAATAAAAATTTATTTAAAAAAATATTTTTGAATAAAATAAAAATAATAATTTCAAGCATGCCATTAATTTCTTGACAGGTTTAGGGTAATTCAAATTTAGATTTTAAGCTGAAAATCTTAATGAGCCTCTAATTTATATACAAACCACACAATTTTTATCTATTTACATATCCAACACTTAGATTCTTTATATTTACATGCCCGACCCCCTCAAATAATTAATATTTCATTAAAAATAATATTATGATTATTTTCTTACGAGCGAGCATATATTTTCATGCATAAGTTTTTATATGGATATGCAAATATATAAAAATTGTGGGGTATATTTGTAAATTTGTTGTTTTGACGTCATAATTTCATTCACAAGTGCACATATATTGTCTTAAGTGAACTTATATCGTCTTAAGTTGTTTTGACGGGATAATTTCAACCTGTGTGGAAGAGGTTGAATCGAATCTCATTGGGATCGATTAAACTCAGAATGATGTGCAAGGAATATTTTGACCGTAGTTCTTCTTAGAAATATTGTTGTTGTCGTACTAAAAAAAAACATGTTTGACAATTTTCTTATTGCTATTTGTGGATTTATTGTCCCGAGTGGCAATTTGAATGTCTCTATAAAACTAGCATCCACATGAGTCTGATTCAGTGGTACGATCCTGACTTTAGTGAAAGTGATAATATTACTCTTGATTCCCTAAATTTGGCTATCAAGATATTAAGACGTGATGTGTTAAGCAATGTGTATTCCTTATTTGGTCGGAATTCCAATTTCTATGGTCGAGTGGGCAAATCTTAGGCTTCTCGTGGCTTGTACTTCTTTCTTTGAGATGCTTGAGCAGTATCTTTAGAGTTGTTCTTGTACTTTCGAACATGTGGTTTGAATTACTTTATATGCACATTAATGGTTGTTGTAATTTGTGATTCAACATGATGTATTAGGTCAACATAAGAGTGATGTATTTCTCGCATTAAGGATGCGTATAAAGGGATCAGGATGTAATCCTCTCAAGAAAGAGCGATTATTGCGTGTGGGGCGCACGCAGATCTGCGCGCGCCCTCCGCACCTAATAATTAGACCTCAAGAAAACGCCTCATAACAATTCATTTCAAATTAGCAATAAGACCATTTTTTTAAAAAAAAAAATAGAATACATATTTTAATGCATATATATATA